AACCCGATATTTCAACTCTTTGTAATGGCCTAATAGGTCAAGTATTGTAAACACTTTTGAGTTAATAAAATTAACTTCGATAATAAAATGTCCAAAAAGTTTCTATTTAACTACCTACTATGTTTTGCATCATTAAACCGGGATCGTACGTAAAAAGAATGCCCAAACCCGGCTTCGTATACTGAAGTTAAGATTTTTCCAAATTCGGCTTAGGAACAGTCAACTGAAAACTCGAATCAGAGATCGAGCGACTTTTGGCCGAAATGACCTAAACGAGAATCGAAGGTCTCGACAATGGTTGTTCAGCGGTAAAAAGTCTGGCAAAAACCGACGTCAGATAAAGAAGTTATAAAGTTTTAAAGAAATTCCTTAATCATGTCATTTTAATAAATAAATAACAAAAATAATTTCGGAATTTTCCAACGGAATCTAAATGAAAGTTGTAGATCGTAGTCTCACCTTCGCGGGGATATAAAGAACGTCGAAAACGGAGTTCGTATGAAGGAGATATGAATTTTTGAAGTTTGATAATTAATTTATATATAATTTTTATTAAAAACTTGGTATTATCCGAAGGAGTCAGCACCTAGGGTCGAAGTACGCGCCGCGTACCCTCGTACGCCCCGCGTACTCAAGGCCAAGGCCTCGGATCGTCCACGTCGCCCTATGCGAAGCTACCGACCCGTCCCATCCGACCCGCCCCATCCGAAATACGTATGTGATGATGTCTCGTACGCGCTGCGTACGCCCGTACGCCCCGCGTACCGAGGCCTCTCAACCCCTATAAAAAGGGTGCGAGGGTTTCCGAAAAACTTGCTCATTTCTTCACATTTCCCTTGCGTTTTGCCTCGTTTTCCGTGCCCGTTCAAACCCGAAGCCATGGTCAGTTTTACTCAAGTCCTAAGGGTCGATTTTACTCCCGAGATTCCACTGTATCGGAGCATGCCTTAAATGTCATGGCCCGAGTTGTAGCCAGAATTCTCTTGGAGGGAGAGCATCGAGTTTGCGTATAGATCTATACTGGATTGACTATCCTACACCTTGCTGCTAGCTACAGCCGGACCTGCAGGTTTGCAGGTGCCAAACGTCATTCTGTTATTACGACCATTCTTTATGTCGTTGTTATCAGTCGATAGTATGGTGCAATTATCACATTATACCTTAATATAAATCCGGTTTAAGGTAGTTAGTACAACAGTAGTTCCTATAATACAAAACTACAGTACTACAATGATTTACCCATTACATTTTTAGTGATAACTTCACTTAAACTTTAATGTACAAACTACATTTTGTTAAAAGATAGTTACACTTGGGAAATTACACAATTTTACATCAAACGAGCATACAAAACAGTTAAGCCCTGGGTAGAAGGCTACTTTAATAGAAAATATAGGTTTTTCTGAGAGATTCAAACTTTTACAAACACTTACATACATTTTACAACTTATACTTGCGACAGGTTCAAACGTTTTTAATAACAAACACCGACACTAAAACACTTATGAATTCACCAGCTTAATGCTGATAAACTCTTTCAAAATAACTTGTATTTTCAGGTCATCAGTAGACAGGTACCGATGCCAGCTTTTGAGAAGATGGAGCGCATTCAAGACTCCTCATATTATTTTGATTCACATTATATTTTTGGTGTCTAAAACTGTACAGAACATGCTTGTATTAAAATTATATATTTAATGCAATGGATGATGTTGTTTGCTTATTTACATTTACTGTGTTGTGATACTTTACATGACGTCCTCCGCCCCAGAACGTTTCCGCCGTTCTTGGTTTTGGGGTGTGATAGGCTCCCCCCGGGGTCTTCATGCAAAACACACAATCACATATCATATCAATTCACAAAGTGACTACACATATACCATAAACACGTAATGGGTTGGCCTTGGTGCCTTAGACCCATAGGTATGGTGAGAAGACTCACCTTAGTCTGCGGAACACACAAGCCGCTCTCCTAACAGTCTGCAACCTCTCGAACCGGATAATTTATATTAATCAATGTTAGGATCTCAAATTAATCGAGGAAAACCCAAACTCACATTCTTCCTCGAGGCCTAACATACTCTTCTCTTGCTAATGGGCCCAAAGTCATAGTCCAAGGTCATTATTGGGCCTTTAGCCCAATAAGGCCCACCCAAAATGTTCATGGACCATAACAGAAGAAATGGACCATAGATCACAGAATACAACCAGTCCATTAACCAAAATGAAGCCCAACGTACCGGGTCTTTAAGGACTTCGCGCAGCCTACATTGAGTACGCTCAACGTCCTTCCAGACTAAGCACTTTCTCCATTAAGTGCTTTATGTTCTATTTCTTTACGTCCAAAATTCAGATCTGAACTGATTAATACATCCCAAGGCATAAAGTTGCCAACTTTATGCCTTTGCATGCCTCCCATACACCCAAAACCTTCATCAAGACCTTTCTAAAGCCCTTAATCCATGCATGTGACCAATACGTCCATCAAGACTCCATTTTTATACTTCAAAAAGACTAAGGGGCCTCAGATCTACCATTATCCTCTCATGGAGTCACTTATCTTGCTAAAAGAGGATTAAAGTCCCACAAAAGGGCCAAAAAAGAAAACCCTAGCTAGATCTAAAGATTTACAAGGAAAGGTACAAGCTTTTTACCTCCATAAGCCTTGTAAGATGACCCAAAAGCAGATCCTTGAAGCACCCAACTGATCCAAGCTTGCTTAACAACTCTCCTTCTTGAAAGAACTCCAAAGTAACCACCAAAACCCTCTTCTTAGGCTCCAAAACGCTCTCACACTCTAACTCAACTGAAGGAAGACGAAATAGGGCTAAAGAGACTGATAAGGTTTGATCCAAGAGGCCAAAAGGCGTTTAAATAGGGAACAAGTCCGAGATTTAGGGTTTAGTCTTTCAGACGCGTACGCCCGACGTACACCCAGCGTACGTGGGGTTCCTTCGCGATCACTTAGGCAGAGTACGCTAAGCGTACCCATAGGTACGTCCAACGTACTCAAGGGACCAAAAATCCAAAAATGAGAATTCTCGAGGGTCACAAGACATACCATCTTTTGGGTGTTATACCATCTGACTCTTATTATTGCGTATGATCATGTACTTGTTTATCTCTTTTAGGAAAGCCATAAGAACAGTATGAAATTTCCAAATTTCAACTTTAATGTATCCCATCATGGTGACTATGTGGCGATAGCTTCTGAACTGATTTGCCTTGTGGTTTTTACATTGTATCTTGCTTTAATCCTGGAAAAGAAACAGTTTCAAAGTTCATTCATAAATTCTCCTCATACTTTTCAAGTTTAGAATGGAAAAAGATTATAAATGTTGGTTATGATGATGAGTGTAGGAGATTGATTTGAAGTTCAATTGGGAATGAATGGAAAAAACGAGATGAATGTGATCGACAATAGAGAGGAGAACAAAAATTTTGCTTTAAGTCACTCTTGTAGTCTTGTCGTCGATCATAGGAAAGGGAAAAAAACAAGATTGATGAATGTATTTGATGTCGATCATAGGAGATGAGGAGATTTTTTTAGTAGCCTTTGTCGACACCGGGTAAAGAAAAGAGTTTGATGAATCAGGCATATTGGCTGATTACTCCTATGAGTACTCGCTACTCGGTCCCTTACTGATGCGAGTTACATAATCCCGAATACTCCCTGATCGACCCCTTACTGCACTGAGAAGTGTTGTAAAACCTGGTCAACTCGTTGATTAATATGTATAATATACTTAACAATTTATTATTTAACACAAACACATGTGATTATTACTACATATATATATATCTTAAATTTTCAGTAATCATTCACGAAGTGAGACCATTATGTGTTTTTCAGATTTTGTGTATTCACATGTATTTAATTTTGTTATATATTTCAATCAAAATAAGATTTTAACTTATGATTTGGACATATATAAGTTTCCTAAAAAATATTTCTATTTGAATTACTAAATCCGAGTACTCCTGAGTACTCACTACTCGGTAGTTGGCCGAACATGTACCGAGTAACGAGTTTTACAACCTTGGACATATGTAATAACCTTTCAGTTCTGGTTACTTGGATGCTAAATCGGTTCCTCAACAAACCGGTTCCGATCCATTAAACCCGGTTCCGGTTTTTTTTACATATCTGGTTCCAAAACCCGGAATACCCGGACCCGTTAGACCCATACCCGAAATACCCAAAACCCGGATAAAACTAATTTTGGAACCCAATACCCGGACTGTTTAAGAATTTTTCGGTTATACAGGTTCCGATTCCGATTCCGGTCCGATTTTCCGGTTTTATAACCCATCCCTACGTGGTAGCCTTGTTTTTGTGAAGTACTTTTCCATATTATAAGTTTCAATTGGATTGTACGTTTCATATTTATTAAAGTACTTTTTGGCTTCCACATTGAAATGGTTTCTTTCATATTTATTGAAGTATTATTTGGTTTCCACATTGAATTAAACTTTCTCTCTATCTCTCTTCTCTACATAAACCCACAGTTCCTAAGTCCTAAGCATCAATTCCCGTTGACCGATTTCTAGTCCGACAAAAAGCATACACTCACCCTAATTCAATCCAAGTATCCAACTCACTCTTCACGAACAACTATTAATGCATGATCACACGTGGGAACCCATAGCCACGTAATTTTATTATTATTACGATTTTAGAACTTTTTAGTTTGAGTTTTTGAAAATTCCACGTGCTTCACCTTCAAACAAGGAACCGCGTTTATTCCATTGTAGAATCCAAAAATAATACAACATCTTACATTGTTGACATCACAAATCAAGATAAAGTTGGCACCTTTTGTGACATACATTCTAAGGAAAAGATTCCATAATGAAGAACACAAGACACAACCTTACTTTATCTCTTTGAAACAAACGGAATCCAAAGAACACCAACTACATAGAAGACATCGAAGCTTCTTTGAAGTCTTTGCTTATATTAATATTCCTAACATATCATCGGTGGGAAAACCCCAAAAATGGGTAATTCTATCTCACTCGTATGTTGTCCCTACGAATTGGTAAGAGAGAGGGGTGATGTTTTAGTGATCAAAGAAGATGGCGAGTCATTAAGATTCAAAGACGGGATATTTGTGAAAGATATTCTTTTTGCTTATCCTTATCACCAGATAATCCGGTGTTGTTCCGAAAGAACAGTCATACCAAGAGAAAACCAACTGAGTTGCAACTGGCTTTACTTCTTGTTGCCAGTTGGGTTGGCACTCAGTGAAGCTGCGTACCGGAGTCTCATCCAGTCTGCAGCTTCACAAAATTTGAATGCCAACATAACAACCATGATTAAGATAGAGGAGAACAATCAACAGAGAAAGGAAAATGATCATAAGGGGAAAGGTCCGGCATACAAAGATTGTAGCTCTACGTACAAGTGGAAACCAATTCTAAGGACGATCCCAGAGATAGCCTCACCTTCTATCTAATACGATAGTTGTGGACAAAAAAAGTGACACATGTATGTAAATTTTCATTCGGCTTACATTATACATTGTAGGATAAAATATGCCTACAATCTTTCCAGATTTGCGGCTGTTTTTGATCGATTGATCAGTAGTTGTATTTCTGCATGTAATAAATGGTTAAACTCAAACTCTAATAATCTGACTATTTTTGGGCAAAGTTACCAAACTGTAAATCGCGTATCTTTGACATGATTTTTTATACATATCAATTGCATCCGTTGTTTCTAATTTTCATATAATTTACTTATGGATTCGTATGGATACACTATCAATATCTTAGTTCTAAAATAGAAGTGCTAGAACTAAATTAGGAACCTTCTGTATAAATATTAAAATATAAGCAATGGAGATGCGAGGAAATTGTAACTAATCAAAGACGAATCTGTCAGCTTTGGGCTGGACTTTCGGCCCAAAACCACAACTAATTGAATCGTAACATCATCATGAAGCTATTATTTATTTATTTTTATTTTTTTGGAACGGCCACCATGAAGGTAAATTGTGCAATAGATTTCTAAAGTGAGCCATAAATTAAGCTTCAGAAATTATTTTTTAGCTTTTCTGGTCAAATAGTATAATCAACCTCTTATATTCTAAAGATATTAACTAAACTAACCATTAGGAACAATGTTGTTAAAAAAAGATCAATTTTTTTGTGATATTTAAATATGTCTATTTTGTCCGAAATTGGTCAGTTTATACTAACGTAATGTCATAATAAACTAATTATTACGAGGGAAAAGTACAATCCAAATTACGGATTGGAAAAAAACTTATTTTGGAATTTCAATAACAAGTGAAATTTAAAGAATAATTTTGGAATTTCAAGGAAATGTCTCGTTTATTGCTCAAACAAATGTTAAAGAAGCATAGTTAATCGAAAAGTAGATACAATAAAATGACTTAAAATGTGACATCTAATTGAAAAGGATGATATAGATACTTCAAAAGTCAAAATAGCCATTTTAGACATGAGTAAGAGAAAATTTTGAATTATTTTGGTGCAAATGAGAAAAAAAAACACATTATTTGATTAGTCCATTACAAACAAAGTAATCATTTTCACAAAATACGCAAAAAAATGATCATAAAACAACACAATTACCAAGTTTATTACATAATCCTTTTTCCAGAATATGGCAAGTACATTTGAACTTGTTTTTCTCATGCTCACATTCTCTTATACATAATTCACATTACAGTTTCAAGAATGCATGCTACTTATGTAGATTTAAGCTCAAGAATGCATGAAACTTACCACATTATTCTCGAAACAATTACATACCATAATTACCATGTTTATAACATAATCATTCTTGCATAGTATGGTCAATTTCTATATACCCCACGCCACACTATACTTAAATAGTTATATGTACGTATTCCAAAAGAATTGTGTACTTAACAATGGTTAAGACTTTAAACGTTCAAGAATCCATAATACAATAAAGTTCAAGAATATATGACACTTTAGCCTCAAGTTATCAATTATGGTACAAAATTTAATTACCCCATGTATGTTTTTTAAATTTGATATGAAAGACCTTAAATTTATCAAAATTTGTTGGTATTATCCCTGCAAACCTGCTATTGTAGATAACAATGAAAAAAAAAAAACCTTGGCAAACTTTCGAATTAATAAACAAAACAAAATGTCGTTATAACGACAAAACATACCAAACTTAAGAGTAAAAAACCCATTTTATTGTGCGTTGCGAATTATCTAGGGCTTCCGGATATAAATTTTAACCAAAATCTATTTTATCCCTCACTAACGATTTCAATATTTGAAGATATTAAATTTGTGTACCCTTTTTACAATTATGTCACTAAAGATCACAACTTTTGATCTTTCTAATCTAGAGGTGCATGATTATTGTTACAGTCACACAATTAATTACATTCTAATAAATATTGAGCTAGTTGATGGTATTGGTTGTGTATGTAGATGAGTGAAACTAATATTTTTAAAATATTGAGTTTTGACTAATTATTGATGAGTCATAGTAATCATTGTTTAATGAGATTTTTTTAGAAAGAAGGGTTTTTCCTAATGAGGTTGTTCGGTCCGCTTACGTGCACCATAACTAACTCCCATACGAGCATGAGTCTATGGTCACTAGAGTCATTACAACCGAATCTCTATGGTCACATCACAAAATGCAACAATCAAATTAGAACTCGAGCATGGGTATCATACACATCCCAAAAAATGTTTTATTGGTAAGCCACTGTTCAAATGGTTAACGAGACTTTTTGACTTGTAAATTATGATCGAAAAACTAATAGAAGAATGATATTATGACTCGTAAGAATTCTCATAATTTATCACATTAAAAATGTCTTCTTGATTTAAAAAAAAAAAATTAAAAAGAAATTTAAGGATCCTATCTCGAATCCAAAATTTGGGTTTTATCAATAAACAAGAAAAAAAAAAAACATCGACCAAAGTATCATTAATACAAACATAAGGAGCATTCTATAAATTATTTTAACAGCAGGACTTGAAACATAAATGATAAATTCTTCATTTAGGGACACATAATTTTATTTATTTAAAGAAAATAGTAATAATATAATGAAAGAAAATATGATTAAATAATAAAAGTGAACTAACTTACATATTCGTTCTCGAGAACTGGTCTCGTCCGAGTCCCCATAGCCACCGGCACCAAAGCACTCCCCACGGCGGCCACCGCCAAAGGACCACCGCCCTCAGCCTCATATTCCATTTTTTCAATCCTTCTCCGCTGCCTAAAACCTCTCACCGCCCACGACCCTCCAAAGACCACCACCACCAAAACCACACCTGCCACCACCCCACCAATCCACCATTCATTGTTCCATCTCCCTCCTCCAGCACCACCGCCCCCGCCAACAGCAATTGGATTCTCCGGCGTCTTCGACGGCGCCGGTGCCGGTGACGGAACGCTCTCCTTAACAACTATACCAAAATGCCCTTGTTTTACACTCGAACAAACACTCCCATTTAACACACGATCAAACTCAACCCCACCAAATAAATCGAAAAACACACATTTCCGCAAAACCCCATCTGCCAAAAGCCCCAAAGATTCAAACTTTATCAAAATGGGATTCTCCGATGCCCGAAGATCTAGCTCCGGCAACCTTTTCGCCGTCAGATGCGATGCATTATAAACCAATAAACCCACCACCGGCGACAGAAACAAATACCCCGGTAAAGGGTAGTAAACCGACGACCAGTTACCCAAATTCTGATACACCAAAACCACCCTCTCGACGTACGGACTCTGGATAACTCCACCGGGAATATCAAACTCTTTGTAACCATAAAACCCTTTTCTTCTCAACCGACCACTTCTCAGGCGGAGGGCGGAGACCGTGATTCCAGTGAACTCAGGGCTCACAATGCCGTCGTAGATAGCTCCGGTCCTTTGCCGGTGACGGGAAAAAGATCGGAAAGCATAGTCTTGAAGAACTGAATCAAGAAATCTGGATGAAACTGAGGTACCTTTGGTGGGTGATTGAGCTTTTAGAAATGGAATGTTGAGGAGTAGTAACATTGCGAACACCAGACGCTGGAAAGCTACAGAATTCATGAATCATGAGATGGACTGAAAGATGTCAAGAATTTGGTTTTTCTTTTTTCAAATCTATTTCAAGATCTAATAATGTAAATTAATGCGAGGGAGCATAACGGGTCGTTCTTGAAGTTGGTGTTTAACTGAATTATTTACACCCCACTTTTACTATAATTTAACTTTTATTCCAGTGACGTTTTTGGTGGATTTAGTTAACATGGGTGAACAAGTAAGTTGATTGCTATCGTTAACGTTATTTGAATTTTTATTATAGATTGCAATATATTATTTTTACATTATATCTTAAAAATTGGTAATCAATCATGTCATATACGAATTTCAATTGTCAATATTAATAATCTAGGATGTTTGCTAGTCCAATTTAAAAAGTTTATTTATAATCGTTTGAGAATAGGATTGTTAAGGTAATTAATTTTTCGGGTTGCTCACATACAGGTAATTATCTTTTTTTATGTACACATCTTGGTAACAAGCTTTTTGGAACTGTTCACATATGACCATTATGACCTGCTGTAACAGGTTACATCCAGCTACAACATGTCATAATGGTTATACGTAAACACTTTCATTAGGTTCGTTACCTAGACGTGTACAAAAAAAAAAATAGTTACCTAAATATAAATAAAACCAAAAGTGAGAGTAAATTACATGAAATGTCCCTATGGTTTGGGAGAATTTGTGTTTTTGGTCCCTAACTTAATTTTTAAACTTGGATGGTCCCTTTGGTTTATTTTTGTTGTGCGTTTAGTCTCTGTCTTACCTAAAAAGACTATTGTGCCATTATTAATTTATATTTCTATTAAATTTCTTATTCATGTTTTTTTGTTTGTATATGTTTTAAAAAAAATTAATAGATCCCACATATTTGTATTTCTTCATCGTAAACCTGAAACCACATTTGAGAATTTAATTTGGGTCTTACCGGTCATCATCCCATCTCACATCCTCTTCAACCTCTATTTTCTTTCAATCTTTAGTGACATGGAAGTCTTCACCATCCTTTTTTTGTCATTCAACTCTGGCAAACAAACATGATAACCCACTGTCTCTTCACTTTATTGGGTTGTGGTGTTGGTTCGTTGGAGTTGAAGGATCGAAAAAGAATAGATGGTGAAGACTTCGATGTCATTAAATATGGAAAAAAATAGAAGTTGAGGATGATGAAAGATGGGATGGTGAGGAGATACATATATGTGGGGTCTATTAGTATTTTTAAACATATAAAAAAATACATAAATAAGAAAATTAATTAAAAAAATTAAATTAATAAGGATACACTAGTCTTTTTAGGTAAGACATGGACCAATAGGGACCATCCGAATTAAAAAAACAAGTTAGGGAACAAAATCATAAATTCCCCCAAAACCATAGGGACCATTCGTGTAATTTACTTTTATTTTTGGTTTTGTTCATATTTGGGTAACTATTTTTCTTTTGTACATATCTAGGTAACGAATTTGTTGAAAGTGTTCACATGTAATCATTATGACCTACTGTAGCCAGATATAACCTGCTACAACAAGTCATAATGGTCATATGTGAACAGTTTCAGAAAGTTTGTTACCTAGAAGTGTACAAAAAAAAGATAGTTGCCTACATGTGAACAAACCGAAAAGTTAATTACCTTATTAGTCTTATTCCCTAATCGTTTTAGGGTATTTGAAATCTTATTTAAAACAAAACAAAACTACATAAAATGGTTTGTAAATTTCTTTGAAGTCTGAATAAGGTCCAAATTTGTGTTTCAAATATCATATCTCATATTATAGGCATCTTCATCCCACCCCCAAACTCTATTTTTTTTTTCTTCATTTCTTCCTCTATTCTTCTCCAACCCTATTACATTTCCACCTTCATTTTTGGAGATATAAATAGTATTCCCCCATATATGGGGAATACTATTCATATCTCCAAAAATGAAGGTCAGTTTGATTGGCAATTTTAGTCCCTTTCATTTTTATTTTATATATTTCTAGTTTATTTTATCTAATAATTATAATTAAAATGCAATATTTAATATTTATAATATCATGTTATATACTAATATATATATATATATATATATATATATATATATATATATATATATATATATATTAATTAATTAATCACAAACACAAATTTTAGTATTTATCTATTGAATTCATATAAAAAACTTAAATATATATTAAAAGCTTGAAACATAGTAACATAATTTATAAAATATAGTAAACAAATATGATCGTAATCTTTATATATTTATTATAAAAAATAATTTTATTTATTTAATAATTATTTATAATAAAATAATAATTAATTTAAATTTATTATATATAAAAAATTTATTTATTATAATATAAATTGAAATATTTTTGTAATGAAAAAATATAATACATATTTGTTAAAATCTAATTAGTAGAGGGTGTATTTGACAATATATATATATATATATATATATATATATATATATATATATATATAAGTTACAAAAATGGAATATTTTAGGAATATACTTTTTCGGGAAAAAAATGGGGTGGAAAGTGGAGTAGGATTGGAGGTTAAACATTATTTACCCCATTTTTTACTCTATTTATGGGGGAAAAATGAAGATGGGTTGGAGATGGTCTAAGCAAAGTACTCCAGTAATATATTCTTCATCAACCAATGACTTATTGATGTGTGAGAATGGGTCAAATTCACATGCCTTGAGGATGAACTCAATACAGTAGGAGAAGGCTATTGGTGACGAATTGAGTGAACTGCAGAACAGTGAGATATTTCAAGTTAATGATGAGATAGATGATAGAAAAACTTGAAAGGAAGATTAGTGGTCGAGGGAATGAGTGTATGATGAATCAAAGAATCGAGTATGAATTTTAATCAGAGTTTAAAATCAAACATGTATGTAAGATTGAACACCGATGTAAATAAGATCTTGGTTCAGCTCAATTTTACGCTTTTAGGTTTATAGAGTGCAAAATAGACAAGACTGTAAAAACCTTATCTAACTCTAGTAAAGACTCCTATTTATAGGAGAAGAAAAGCGTACAAAATATATACTAAGGACTAGACAAATAAGCTTCGAATAATTTGCCTTAGTAAAATAGATTACAGTGAATACGAAGACTATACTATATGTGAAGACCTATGACACTTCGACTAATTACAACCAATTTAGCCCTTACAATCTCCCGCTTTGTAATCATAGTCGAAGTCTTCAGTTTGTAAGCAATTGGATCGAGTACATCATCACTCTTCGTATCTCAGTGTACCAAGCAATAACCTTCCTGATTTCCTTCTTGTCTCCTTCATTATTCTTCATACACTTATTCATACGAACAATTAAATTCGTATACTATGAAGTAGCATATCTTTCCACTTCGCATGTTTGAAACAATAACCATTTAGCTCTTCTAGCTTTATCCTTTTCCAGCAAAAACTATTCCGAATGGCTTCAAACAAATTTCTCCATCTTCATACTTTTTCAATTCTTCTTGCTTCTTTGTAAGAGCCATTGGAGCAGTGATATCAATTCCCTTTACAGTAGCTAACTCCACATCAGTTTGTGCCAACCATTCAAAATAATTTTCAATGATGATCTTGATGTGCTTAACTCCATTGAACACCGATGTAAATAAGATCTTGGTTCAGCTCACTTTTACGCTTTTAGGTTTACAGAGTGCAAAATAGACAAGAATGTAAAAACCTTATCTAACTCTAGTAAAGACTCCTATTTATAGGAGAAGAAAAACGTACAAAATATATACTAAGGACTAGGCAAATACGCTTCGAATAATTTACCTTAGTAAAATAGATTACAGTGAATACGAAGACTATACTATATGTGAAGACCTATGACACTTCGACTAATTACAACCAATTTAGCCCTTACAATCTCCCGCTTTGTAATCATAGTCGAAGTCTTCAGTTTGTAAGCAATTGGATCGAGTACATCATCACTCTTCGTATCTCAGTGTACCAAGCAATAACCTTCCTGATTTCCTTCTTGTCTCCTTCATTATTCTTCCTGCACTTATTCATACGAACAATTAAATTCGTATACTATGAAGTAGCATATATTTCCACTTCGCATGTTTGAAACAAAAACCATTTAGCTCTTCCAGCTTTATCCTTTTCCAGCAAAAACTATTCCGAATGGCTTCAAACAAATTTCTCCATCTTCATACTTTTTTAATTCTTATTGCTTCTTTGTAAGAGCCATTGGAGCAATGATATCAATTACCTTTGCAGTAGCTAACTCCACATCAATTTGTGCCAACCATTCAAAATAAGTTTCAATGATGATCTTGATGTGCTTAACTCCAAGCTGGAATACATCCGGCTCTGTTTCTTGAAGATGAGAAAATGATTTATCTTTCAAAATTAATGCAACTTGTATAAGATCATACAAGTTCATTATATGAAAATCGGGAATAGTAAATTCACTAATCATTCGACTTGATCACCGAATATTTAAGATTTTGAATAACACCTTCGAAAATCACATCTCTTTTTATGCTTATCACCTTCTTGATTTTCACCAGGGACCAAACATCTTCTGGAGCTCTTGCTAACACTGCATGAAATCGAATTTTCATCTGCTTCCCTTCATCCTTATGTTTACAAATTATTTCAGCTTTAAACTGAGGCATTATGAACATCATTTCATTCACTAGAAAGTCAAGCTGACTTGCATCAGTGTTTGTGACCACATAACTTTGTTTTGGCACTTTTTCAAAAGAATACATGTGGTTAAATGACACCTTAGCTTCAATTGTTTCATAGTTATATTGCTTTTTTGGATCTCCTTTCTCTAAACCTGGAGGATCTTGTGCACGAAGATTCATTACACTTTGAACCATCCTCATCTTTTCCAACTGAGCATCGACCTCTGTATTTCGAATCAGACTCTCCCACCACCATTACCTTAGATTTTGAAGCACTTCCAGCTTCCTCTCCAAAAACAACACCTTTCTGTACTGGTCTAGTCATAGGCATTGATGTCACAATAGTTGAAG